AAACCACGACAGCAGGTTTAGGTTAGATATTAGGAAGAGAATTTTTACAGAGAGAGTGATCAGACATTGGAATGGGCTGCCCAGGGAGGTGGTGGATTCACTGCCCCTGGAGGTTTTCAAGATGAGACTGGATGTGGCACTTAGGGCCATGGTCTAGTAACCACGGGTAGGGCTGGACTTGATCTTGGAGGTCTTTTCCAACCCAGTTGATTCTATGATTCTATAAGGAGGAAGTACAAGGCAGATGTCCCCTTTAGGATGATCCTACACATTCCAGCTCCCCAGCCTATCCAGACCCTTTAGATCCACTGTATTTTCAGCCCTCCCCACAGCCCGTGTCTGGGCTCCCTTCCTCACTGGAAGAAAGGATGGAGAACACTGTATGTTCAGGTCTTGCACTAGCCTGCAGCTGTGTCCATGACTTTATGCCCGTAGCACAATAGTGCTCTTGGATTCTAGTCTAGGGAGCTCTTGATGCATTTGTGGCCTCAGCTCTGCCAGGGGGTGGTGTCTGTAATGCTCTCTGTTTCACAGCCCTTGCTTTTGACAAAGATGGCTATGGGATATATTGGTACACCTCCACCTCACAGTTGCAGTAACTTTAAATCACATCAGATCATAGATCTCTAATACTTGCTTTCCTGTCTATAACTTTATGATGATTTTCTGCACCTGACCTACTTCTTGAGCCATTTGCAGGATTACTGGGTCAGTTAAAGCTATTGGGACTAGGAAGACAAAACTGCTCAATCTTCTCGCACTGACTCTCAGATAGTATCTGACAAAACTCTAGCTGGCCCATGCACTGGGGAGCAGCCCTCTGCCAATTACCAGCTGTTTTATTAGTCAAAACACAAAGGTCTGTGAAACTTGGTTGGAGCCTGGATGCTGGTCTGGGAGTAAATGCAGAGCAGTGGATTTTTTGCCATTGCTTTCCCAGTTTTTTAATTAGAAATTATACATGCAGCTGCTACAGTAACAGTTAAGTATGCACAGGCAACCAAAACTTCAGACCTGAGATTGTCTGTACAGCTGAAGTCTTTCCCTTGCAGACGTGGATCTCTACCTCACAAGAGGCAGGACACCCACTAGTAGCAAGGAAGACACGTGCTTCATGCCCAAGGCTTGGGTGTCAGCAGAAAGAATTATTCTCCTTGCCTTTCCAACAAACCTCCTGTGTGTAATACTGCCATGTGAGAGAGCTGACATTACACAGGGATTCTTGCATTAGGCATTCTGCAGTTTCAGGGCTTTTGCATTTGTAACCTTGCTTGTAGGAGTTAAATAGAACAAAGTAATGCCACATTACAGCAATGTGCAAGAAATTAAGATCAGAGACATTGAAAAGGCTGTCTGGGATTTTTAGTTTCCAGCTGGATACTCACCCAAAGAGGCCAGAAAATCCCCAAATTTTGCATCATTAAAGCAAAGACCACTCATGAGAACAGCTAAATGCCAGTCAAGAACAGAACATTCAGAATAGTTCAAGTGATGTTGCTACTTTGCCACTGTATTCAATCAATATAAATCATGGAAAAGCACTACAGCCAAGAGCTCCTAACAACTGTAACTCCTCAGCCAATAAATCAATGAAAAATTACACAGTGTTATTTAAAATACAAACGCTACATATAGAGAGAAGGCTAATTATAGCCAGCATTGGCAGAAAGAAGGTGATCAGACAGTCAGTACAATCCTGCTTACAAAAACAACCCAACAATCATTTCCTCAGACTTAATAACCCAGAGCAGTGTCTCTGCTGTGAGCACGTATTTGTCTGCACCAGCTGGGGGTGACAAAATGTAATCAAACTCTGTGAGTGAAGGTGGAATCCAGCTGTTTGGTATTGAAGCTAATGGATTAGGAGTCACATTAACACTTTCCTGCAAGGCAAAAGTTGTGAACTTAATCCTGACACTTTTATGTGCATTTCTGTCCATAAATAATTTGTCAACCTCTTTTAACAGTGCTCACTAAAATCAGGTGATCTCCTCCAAATACTTGAAGAGATTTGCTTAATCAGAGATAACAGACATTTATTTCTCAAGTCTAAACCAAACTATTAAACTGTTTTTTAGTACCAAACTCCAAGCACTTCCTACTAGAAAACTGATTCTCACCACTCTCACGCAGCCCAAGAGCTGTGATAGCACAGACAAGGCTGTACGTGCCGATGCCGGGACAGTTTGGATGCTGTGAGCACGTACTGCCCTCTCCTGGCAATTCATTCCCTCGAGCTGCTACTGCCTCCCCAAAACTTGTGTGCAGTAAAACCGTGACAGTGAAGATGAAGAGTGCTTTCCCTAGATCCAGACAGAGGCATTTGTGTGCCCCGAGCCACCTTCCCTGTGAACAGTGCTTCCAAGGCTGTTGCTCAATTTTCTTCTGCACACACGAGGTACCAGACTGCAAACACACAGGTAGCAGCAAAGCATTACAGGACAGGAAGGAGTTCTCAGCTGTGAGCTAGCCTAAGGCCTGGCCATGCCCCAATGTCTTCTCCAGCAGCTGGAGAGAGCATATCCACCCACCACCTTTACTGGCTGCAGTCCATGCATTTGATTCCACGGACAGATGAGCTACCAGCCTGCTTCTGGTCCTGCTGCGCAGCTAAGGAGAAGTCATTGTGTGCTGGTTTGGGCTGGGATAGAATTAATATTTTTTACACTGGCTAGTATGGGACTGTGTTTTGGATTTGTATGAGCACAGGGTTGATAATGCAGAGATGTTTTTGTTGCTGCTGAGCAGAGCTCACACAGAGCCAAGGCCTTTGCTGCTTTCCGTATTGCCACACTAGCAAGGAAGTTAGGAGTGCATGGGATGTTGGGAGACACAGCTGAGACAGGTGACCCAAACTGACCAAAAGGATATTCCATACCATAGGACATCATGCTCAGTATATAAAGTGGGAGGAAGAAGGGGAGAGATCTGGAGTGATGGCATTTGTCTTCCCAAGGAACCGTTTCATGTGATGGTCCCTGCTCTCCTGGAGGTGCCAAGCACCTCCTGCCTGTGGGAAGCAGTGAATTCATTCCTTGTTTTGCTTTGTGTGTGCAGCTTTTGGTTTCCCTATTAGATTGTCTTTATCTCAACCCATGAGTTTTCTAGCCTTTACCCTTCCAATGCTTCCCCCATCCCACTGGTGGGGGAGTAAGCAAGCAGCTGCGTGGGGTTTGGTTGCTGCCTGGGGTTAAACCACGATACATCATTATGCACTCAAGAGGAATTCGTTACGCATTCACCGTTGAGTGAGTGAAAATCAAAAGGAGAAGCAGAGAGTGAAAGAAAGCAGTTCTGACAGCTTCACAGGCAATGAGGGTCAAGGCATGACACTGTCACCAGCTCAGCTAGCATGGCAGATACTCCTTAACTCTTGCCCACAATCAGGAGTGGATGCCTCTCACAGCCCTTTGTCAATCCCATCAGAGATTGCCTGCAAGCTACGATGGCTGTCCATGTGCTCGCTGCACTGAGTGTTCCTGAACCAGGCAGGGGCTCTGAGCCCTTGGGCCTAAGGCAAGGGTCAGTTACAGGGGAAGGAAACTGCTGGGAAATGCAGGCTGCTCTAGCGATCTTAAAGTATTCAGAACAGGTCTAAAAATTGCAAAACTTCCCCAGATGCTATCAGGTTAGTTTATAGTTACGACAGGAAGTCACAGTAATGAGCTGATGGCTATGTCACGTCCCTGAACCTGAAACAAACAGTGTTGGGCTGCTCAGCAATACACAACTTAGAGCTGGGAACAGGCTGGGACCAAAACTAGAAACAAAGACACAAACTTTTGCAACATAGTTCCTAACAAACCAAAACCCTTCTGACTTTCTGCAGCAACAGAGGGACCCTACAGAGCAATAATGGGGTGGCAGCACTTGTCTTGGCACAGCAGTGCTCTCCTTGCAGGAAAATGCAGCACTTTTTGCCGTACAATAAAGATGATTTCCCAGGGGAATAAAGCTTGCAATCTCTAAGCCCTGCCAATGTGCATATTAACTTGAGAGCAGCTGTAGATCATTCTTGAGCTACAGCACAGGCTTATTTTTTCTCCCCAAATAGCTGTATTACCTTAAATATGATAGCAATGGGAATATCTTCTGACAGAGTGTTGTGCCTCAGGTAAAATCTTCCTTGTTTCACAACCATATTTGTTCTGCTTTTCTTCTCATGAGTGGAACTGAAGTTAAAAAAAGTAGTATTATGTCCAACAGAATGTTTGTACTGACTCCCAGAATCTTTTGCATGAACCTTAGCAAGCTTGAACAATCTTTCAGGTGAATTAATCCCACTTCTCTTTCCTAAAAATTACATTAAAACAGCCAGACATCAGCCTGGAACTCCAAGGTAACAGGGTGTTATCACCTGTCATGGGGATCATTTGGACTATCTGACTTCAAAAATAGAAGTCTTTAATTTTTCAAATCATCTTTGCATGCTTTTATCATCAATTTTTGCGTAACTAGCAAGGCCAAACTGTGCACAAGTTCTGTAGTACAAGTGGTAATGAGGTAACAGGGCTTTGTTGCATGTTAACCTCATCTGGGCTTACTGCGCAAGAGTAGAGTAGTTAGGAGAGATGTGTGGGACCTCTGGAGAAGAAAAAACAGATCTCACATTCAAGTGACAAACACCATGTTTACGAGGAGAGGCTGAGGGAGCTGGGGGTGTTCAGCCTGGAGAAGAGGAGGCTCAGGGGAGACCTTCTCACCCTCTACAACTCCCTGAGAGGAGGCTGGAGTCAGGTGGGGGTTGGTCTCTTCTCCCAGGCAACCAGCAGGAGGACAAGAGGGCACAGACTCAAGCTCTGCCAGGGGAGGGTTAGGTTGGATATTAGGAAGAGATTTTTTCAGAGAGACTGATCAGGGATTGGAATGGGCTGCCCAGGGAGGAGGTGGGTTTACCATCCCTGGAGGTTTTCAAGATGAGGCTGGATGTGGCACTTGGTGCCATGGTCTAGTAACCACAGTAGGGTTGGACTTGATGATCTTGAAGGTCTTTTCCAACCCAGCTGATTCTATGATTCTATGATCAGCATGCAGCTTAAAAAAACCCAAAAAACAACCAAAAGGCAAAAATATAAATCAAACAATCAAAGAGGAAAGGCCAAATTTAGACTACCTTGCCATTTTCAGTCATTTGTGCAGGACAAAAATATTTTTGATTCCTTCTCAACTGCCTTTGCCTTTCGAAGTTTTTACACCAATTTGATGCAGAGAGGCAGAGAAAAGGTTACATCAAATTTCCACTGCAGTAACATCATGTTACTTGCTGCAAAAAGGAGACCAAACACCATCGATTAGGAAGTGCACCTGGTTATGTTAAAAATCAGCACTTGCTCTTCCTAATCCAGGATGAATCCTGAAGCACATGAGCAACTCTCACTGATTTTTGTGGGAATACTGTACTAACTCATTTTGGGATTGATGTTTCAGTGTACAAAATGACAGCAGCAAGAGAGGGGCATTGAACGTCTACAGCTTTTTCCTGTCAAACTACTCTAGGAAGAAACCTAGTTATTTCAACTACAACAATGAAGCTTTGGGTTTCGCTCCTTTATACAATTGTAGGCATTTACCATACCTGGTAACAGAAGCGCCAACTGTGCCTTTTCGGTCAGCTTCCACAATGATTCTGTTCTTGGACAGCTGCTCTTGAATAAGAATTACTTTCTCTACACCTTTAACGATGAAATAGCCACCTAGGCAATGGAAAAGAAGGAGTCTGCATGTCAGTACCCTTATGCCTTACTTGTGTCCTTCAATATATTCTCATGGCTTGGGTGGGTGGACTCTTTGGTGGGTAAAGAACTGGCTGGATGACCTAGAGAGTTGTGGTTAATGGTGCTAAATCCATCTGGGGCCAGACACTGGTGGTGCTCCCCAGGGCTGAGTGTTGGGGCCAGTCCTATTTAACATCTTTAGTGATTATCTGGATGTGGGGATTGAGTGATCCTCAGGAAATTTTCACATAACATTAAGTTGGGTGGGGTGCGGATCTGCCTGAGGGTAGCAAAGCTCTACAGAGGGACCTGGACAGAGTGGCTGAGGACAACTGCAAGAGAGTCAATAAGGCTCAGTGCTGGTCCTGCCCTTAGGACACAACAACCCCAAGCAGCTCCAGGCTGGGGGAGGAGTGTCTGGAGAGGTGGTGGTCCCAAAGGGACTTGG